ACGCCGTACGTGCCAAAAAGATGTAGAAGAAGATTCTATGTTAGATGCAAGTGAGTCGTACGAAGCATCTATAGCTAGTGTAGAGTAATTCAAGTTTTCATATGTGATGTTCGCGATGCCAAGAAAAAGTGGCACACTCGGTGGGGTGGCACTCTCGGTGGTGGAATACGTTATCTTTTTTAACCTCTCTCCCCTACTTTCTCCTCAGTTCTCAATTATAGTTTCTTAATCTTTTTAAGCTCCTTCTTTACTGTATCAGAAACTCGGAGACGACTCTTGGCCGCGTACTTTTCCAGAACATTGGGTTTCTCTTTTCTCTTCCCAAGCTCACAGCAGCTGTCACGAATAGCTTTTGCTAGACTTTGTAGCTGGCTCGCTGTGTATTCAGAGTAATAAATATGCAGTTGTGACTAGATTTAATTAGTTAGTCTCCTAAAAAGTATTAATTGTACGTAAACATACCCATTCACCCTTTTTGAGTATATCACGTGCAAGATAGTATGCACCTGCAGAAAGAAAGCTAGGAATGCAGTCCACAAACTGTTCGTCTAGAGTTGCAACCTCCAGAAAGTACTTAGCCATGTTACGTATCTCGTTGTCGTAATCATCCGCTTTATTTATGCGTCGCAGGAAGCTCAAAGGGCCAGGCCATCCGAGGTTGTATTCGAGTGTTGCCAACATATACTTTTCTGCTTTGATGAAATTTTCACGAGTGTAAGCGTCTTTGGTCATATCTAAAAATTCATCTAATGTTCGTTCATTTAAGTTTTCTTCATATTTTGATGCAATTAGCAGAGCAGTGATACTAGCGAGCTGCAAGTTCTCTTTTCGGATCTCTTTGGATGCAAGGAATCGATCGAGAAGATTGACAGCAAGAAAAAGAGTCTCAGGTGAGAATTTAAAGTTCTGATGCACTTCCATGATCCAGTCTATCACAATAAATCGGTCTTTCCAGGTAATCTCAGATTGCTTATCCATATAGAGAGGATCTGGTTTTAATAGTCTTTCTATAGAACGGAGATGTTTAAAAATGTCGTCGCTATGCCCGAAGTTCATGCAGACATCGCTTTTCTCGTCCTCAAAGTCGTGTTCTTGGTGGTTCTTTCTAAAGAATTTTCGCGCCTTTCTTAGTTGTGTCTTTGTCTCCTCCGTTTCCTTAGGAACAGAAATACGGGTGTCATCGGTTACGTTGTCGGAATCTAAAGAAGATGGCCAAATGGAGGTGTGACGATTGGTGTTTGCGTGTTTTTTTCTATTTTTGTTGTTAACTTTAACAGCATATGTTGTATCAATTTCAGCAGTAGTATCACTCGTGGCTCCCGGATTTTGGCCAATATTTTTCATGATTGTAGACTGTAGGGTGGTGTTGCTACTAAGTTCCCTGATAGATAAACCTGGTACAGGATTGATTTGTAGTTTCACGTTTTTGTTGGCTAGCTTTGGGTGTAGCACCTTTCTTCCATTGGGTCCAGTTTCAGGTCTAGAGCTTTTAGGCTATTATAGAAAACTATGTTAGCCGACTATACAAGAGTTTTTTACGTGTATTTTAGATAAAGCTATAAGATTTACACTTCAGGTATGCGAAGGGAGTGCTTGTTCACAAAGGTGAATGTTTACCTTTGAGCCTGCTGTGTTATTTTCTCTCCCCATCGCTGAAGGGGTAGTATCTTGGGTTATGCTGTTGTAGGAGGAAATGCTATGATGAATCAGTGAAATATCCACACTTGTTATCACAATAGGCTTTCCACAATATTATATGACCCGGCTCCTCTATAATTTTAGATAATCGCAGCTTTACCCTAAGAAGTACTTTTATCGTATAATAGACTGTCAACAGTCGTTATAATGAAGTAGGGAACGAGGTAGTAATAGTAATGTGCGACATTCACAGCTAACTCTTTTATACTGTCGGTTAGTGACAGTAAGAAGTAGATTGTAGAGAAAGTTTAGATCTAAGTTCTTAAGACAAGAACTAAGCACTGTATGAGAACAATAGGGAAGAAAGAGGAAAAAGCTGAAGGCGCAAAGAGTAGGGTAGTAGCAGGGGTTGTCTTGGGAAAGCCTAGACCATAACACATGCACTGGAAATTCCAATTCTACGGCCTGTACATAAAGTAGAAGAGAGCCCGGTAAATATATTGACCTCAATATAGCAAGACTATAGAGCATGACAACTTGTCTTCGTGTAAGCATCTTATCATGAAGTCTAGTATGAGTAAGTAATCCATAAGCAGCAGCGCAATAACGTAAGCCTATCTAGAAGCCATTTATAAGATCTAATTAACTTAACTGACTAAGTATTTAGGTAACTAGTGTTACACGGGGTTGGGTGCTGATACTTCTCTAAGCTCAATCCGGGTTAGGGTGAGTGAGATGGCGTGAAGAGCGCCGTGAGGTGTTTGTCTGGCGATGCAGTGGAGTGGAGTGCTTGTGAGATAGATAACAATAGGTTTGACAATTCCTAATCTATATCGAATAGACTAACAAGTATCAATCTTGTGAAGTTGAGTAACTAGTAAGAAAGTACAATTTGAGTTGACCACAACGAGAGTAATAATGAGATCCATCCATCCTTATATCCTCATTGCTTTCAGTCCTGCCATCAGAACTTCGACCTGCCATCACTGATGGTTGTCTCCACTTCTGATGGTTGCCATCACATACGGATCCTGCCATCACTGATGGCACCGTCTTGGCGTGATGGCACATCACGTGACCTAGCCCCGCGATGTCCGTCGTTTCCTGCTGGTATCCCAAGTGGCTTTCCAACCACTATACCATCAGCACAAGGAAGGAGATCCTTTCTGTTGTTACTTGTAACAACTAGTTACATATCTTTGTAGAGACAGTTAAACTAAGTGAGATGCACACTCTCTTGCACTTACAGCTTCCAATTTCTGGAAGCAGAAAACCTTTGATCCCGCGCTAAGCCTCTCTCGCTTAGTAGCGATCTTACCCAAACTGTACTAGTTTCTACCAGTAATGCTAACTATAGGTCGATCTTTTTTCAGGCATTCTCTCACAAAACTGGTAAAACCGGAAAATGGCGGCCCCATCAACCGCGATGCAACACCACGCCAAAACACCGCTAAAACACCGCGTTTTCGCATAGCTGACGATGCAAAGTTAATTCAATATTTTGAAGCTCTACCGTGATAGATATCTACAATATTTTAGAGTCAGTAGGGGTATTGATCCACCGTTTTATTGATTTTTTCTTGCTCAACGCTATCCAGCACCTTGTAGAACCGCTACACTCCCTTACGCTGGGTTGCACACCTTCTCATATAAAATTTGTGGCGGATCGGTGCAACCCAGGTCTCTATTATACTCATATCTGGAGATTTTGGTGGGCTCAATATGTATCCCATACCATGATAATCCATATACTAGAGGTTTTTTTTGGATATATGGGTAGAATCCCGATCCTGCTAGAGTATATATTCACTACCGCGTTCTAATAGATAAGCTTGTAGAGCTAGTAAAATAGCTGTTGTATATATTTTTGCAGTCATTTTGCTATCGCTATTGCCTGCGTTATACGGGATTGCGAACTTGAAGTTGTATCCTACTACGCACCATATATGAAAATGGATCTGGAGATCCGGATCTACCTTACGCTGCTCCTCGTACTGTATATCATCACACCAGATCACATCGCGCCACGCAGTACTAGTAGGCCTCTGCTGTAATTATATAGAACAATACTCCAGCTAGCTGTTAATCTATGCTTGTTTGTGCTTGCCTTTGACAACAGCTTTGTAAGACTTAATACCCTCATCATGGGCGACGCGACGCTGGATCGCACCAGTGCTCTACATGATATTTTCTTAACCTCGCCCATCACGATACTCTTTGACGACACCAGCTTTATTAGAAATATCCTACTAAGGGAGGCTTTTATCGTCGAAGGGAGCTTCATTGAGCTAGGTGCCAATCGCGGCGGTGTCGCTCCTCGTAAGCTGGCGTGGTGGTGGGCGGGTATCGACGACGTCATCAGCGTTTTGGAGACGGCGGCATCGTCGGGATGCGAGGATATCAGAAGCTGTAGATTTCAGTATGCCAAATAGAGTAGAAATACTAGCTAGATTGCATAGTATTGACTGTTGTTGAGCCCATAGATACACTGCAAATATGGCGGCACGTTTGGGAGTTTGCAGCTGCGGGCGCTGCCCATCCGCTTGCTCCTCCAGCGGCTGGAGCTCTGGCGGCGGCGTATTAATTTTCAAACGACGAGGCATAGCAAAAATAAAGACTGCGTATTTGATTGCGCGTATTTTTCGTGTAAAATAAGCACGTGGTGATGGAGATATTTCCCGTTGCGGATGGTGAGTTTTGGTGGGATAAGCCCGGTTGTTTTGATTTTCCAGTTTTACCGGTTTTGTGAGAGGTACTAGGGTTTAACCAACTACTGTTCAATTCTAAGTGCACCGACCTTTGAGGCCGCGCGCCCGTAAGTCGAACACCAAAGCGTCAGTATCACACAACATAGACTGCACCACTAGCCACCCATACATGCGCAACTCAAGTCCAAAGCCGCCGCTACGAAGCTGCCATCATAGCAGCTGTGTTAGAGAGCATTTTGGTAATTTTTTGAGCCCGCTATACTGCAGGAGGGTGGTGCAACTTAACAATTATGTATAGGTTCAGCATAGCGCAGACTCACTGCCCACGACAGACGGCCGTACCATGCGCAAAATTTAGAAAAAAAATTCTAGCGTCTACAGAAGCAAGCATATGGTCATGAATTTCTATTTGTGAGATTTTTGAGATTATTCAGTCATGGTGCGGTGCAGAATTAATTTTTTTTCAATTTGAGAGTTGGCGAATTTGAACCAAAAAATGAAAGTCAAATCAAGCCACAGCAACACGGGTTCCTAGGTGAACCGGTTGAACGTCGGATAGCCAGGTATTGCTATAATTAATAAATAGATAAATAAACATAGAGACACAATAAGACTAGTACTCGCACTCCACTTGCACTGCCATTACTACAGACCATGGATGAATTTCGAGATATTTTTGTGTACTTACCCACCCATCGCATTGCTATATGCAAGCGCCACAAGCAGGGTATTGTTAAGTCGCAGCTGCGCACCCATTTAAACACCAAACATCAGGAGCTGGCTCCCCACACACGTCGCAGCATAGTACAAGCCACCAGCCAGGAGCCATGGCTGCGCAACTGGGCCAACAATGCAGACCAGGTCATGTTTCCACGCCCAGATGCTGCGCCGCTACCCCATCTACCCGTGTACACAGATGGCTTGAAGTGCTGTAAGTGTGGGTATGTTAATCGCAGTGAGAAGCGTATCCAAGAGCATGGCTTAAAGCAGCACAACTGGATCCACCCACGCCAGAAGACGCCAGGACGACCATCCAGTACGCGGTCCAAGTGGGCTACTGTCGTGTGCCAGAAGTTCCAGAACACCAGCACGCTGGGTCGACTGTTTGAGGTCCAGGGCGTTGCACCCGCTGAACCCGACGACGGTGATCACGAGGAGACAGAGTTTAGGCGCGCATTGACCGTCTCAGCGACGCAGATTGACCAGGTGGTAGAGAACAAGAGCGCCAGCAACATCATCGAAGAGGACAGTAGCCGGTGGGGATACCAGACATGGTTGAACCGAGCAGGCTGGGCACGACACTTGAAGGGGCTAGACCGAGCATGGCTGCTAGATAAGGCACAGTTACCCAGCTACCGAGAGCGGGCATTGCGTGATGTGTGTTGGGCAGCGGAGATGGTGATTTGGAAGGCGCAGCAGGTGTCTCACTCGAGTGTGGTGGGTATGCCGGCCATGATGCATATTAACCGGCGCGAGCATGGAGCGAGTGGCAACGAAAAGCCGTTCAATGCGAGCCAGACCGAGCCGACGATGAAGAAGTACCGCATGGTGTGGCTCCAGATCATCGCGTATATCTGGCGGACGTACGAGCTGGCTGTGGCACCGTCCAACTCGAGTAACGAAGCACAGGGTAGGCGGCCGGCATACTGCTTGACTCGTGAGCAGGAGGCATGCTTGGAGAAGATGAAGGAGATTACTGGGTATGACCGAGAAGCGGAAGAGGAAGAGGAGGAGGAGGAGGAGCAGGAAGCTGCTCGCTTGGACAGGGACATGGATGATGGTGACTGTGACAGCGAGGGGGATGGGTTGGACGAAGAGCAAGCCGTGGCACTGCAGGATCAAGTACTTGGGTTCATGCTTGCGCTGCTCGATCACAAGCTAGCAAGCAGCGAGTATGAGAGTGGGTTGATCAGTGGCATGGCGGTGCTGGGTGTGAGCGCCGATCGGGCATGGCTGGATCCGCTCATGTATACACCGAAGCAGTCGGCTGTTGTTAGTATATCGCGCATGCTGGTGCTGTATCGGACACACAAGAAGCGAGGTGAACAGATGGCTGAGCTGACTGCTGGGGGGTACAGTGAAGAGAGGGCTGGGATGGTTGCGGCTACGCATTTTGAACTGGTGCAGACCATGTGTCACCGGTTTATGTCGCTGACCGACTACAACGGGTACCCGATGCATTCGTGCAACTGGTGCTATCCACGGCGCTCCTCCCACTTCTGCTGCCTGGACATCGTTCACTCTTGCAGTCTTGCCTTTTTGGCACAGGTGGGCCAGCCTCTACTTCCAGCGCAGTACTCTTCTGCTTTCGGCCACGTCCCACCGTGCTTATGGATGCCTTGGTTTCTGCGGCCTCCTGCATAGCATCTTTGCCCTTCCGACTACGCTTCCCCATAGCTTTAACTTCTTTGGCTGCTGCCTCTTCCGCTTGCTTCAGCCGTTTACTTTGGAGATGCTCATAGCTAAACACCCACCCAGAACTCTTTTCTAGTATATCTGCTCTAGTTGATCGTCGGGGATTAGCTCCTTTATTGGCTGGGGAAGTGATCGTATACGATCGATGGTGTGATCGTTGACGATCATCTGTGATTGGTTCCTCGGCTAACTGATCGTTCAAGATCAGTCACGTGATATGCGGCGTAGTTAAGAAGGATTCCTGCGATTGCGGCGTAGCACTTCCTATGCTGCAATCCTCGGAACTGCTTACTACCCTGTCAGTCTGTCAGACTGTAAGGGGTTTTCTGATCAAGGATTGAGGTGGATAAAGGTGATAGATCACTGTGATGAAAGACTATGATAAACTTGATGATCGAAGCTGATAGTATTGATTGCTCTGCTTTCTCTAGCGGCGCGCAGGCGCGCCGCCTTATTGAGCGCTATCGCTATTGCTTTTTGTATCAGGTAGGCGGCTGAGTATCAGCCTTGCCTAGGGTTAGACCTTGGCGCTCGGCTCTTGATCGGCCCGGATCACAGAATCCGGGTGCTCAGTCACACCCGGATTCTGCCACTTAACTATCTGACACAGTCGTACGTAAGCAGTTTCGCTTATTCGTAACAATACAATAACCAGAGAGCATTAACTACTAAAAAGAATATAGATTTATCTTTGCAATGCAGAGATCCCTTCACTGCAAGGCGCAGCTGTTCTGTTTGGTCAAGCTTGGGCCTGTGCTGAGTCGCGATCATTCTTTCAGCCCGGTGGTGGATAGTCCCTGCACAAATAGCCAATTGACAAATGCGGGGAGCGAAGGATTGTGGCGTGGTTTTCTGAGCGCGTATTTACATTCGATTATTGGCTTAACAGCATAAGTAATTTCTAATCACAACCTAAAGTCCCTCTGTGTGTGCCGGAAAACCTGATGGGCCGGAATGAGCTAATGAGATACAGCACTGCGCGGGGATGACTGCTGACCTTGCGCTCTCATTGGCTGGTTCCGGCCCATAGGGTTTTCGGTTACACAGGGAGGGACTTTAGTGCTATTATGCAATATAAATATGCAGCCGCGCTCTCCCTGAGTTCGGCAGTTCGCTAATCTAAAACCTCAGTACCATCACCCAATTCAAGCACAATGAAGATGCAGGCAGACAGCGCACAGCCAGAGTGTATATAAACAAATTGTCCTTATTATGTTGCTTTTACTAACTATTCAACAGCTACACAAGTCTCTGCCAATACCCAGAACTCCACCGGCCAGCAAAGGAAGCAACAATCATATATCCTAGGTCGCGAGAAACTTGCTGCAATTAAAAGAAAAGGTGGACATAGATCTGATTACGAAAACAGAAGGGCTGAAGCAATTAGCCTGATAAATGAAAACAGGCCCAGGTTGAACGCAGCTAGTATTCCCGAGCAATTGCCTACAATTACAGATCATGGACATGCTGCTGCAATGAAGCAATTGCTTGAAATTACAGATCATGGACGTGCTGCTGCAATGAAGCAATTGCTTGAAATTACAGATCTTGGACGTGCTGCTGCAATGAAGCATTTGTTTGAAATTACAGATGATGATGATTGGGATGCTGAAGTGCAGCGATTCCACAAACAGTGGCAAGAGGCAGTGGCAAGAGGAGCGTAACGGCGTAGGCAAGACTAGTCAGCTGTAGTGTCACTCAGAGGCATATGGGAGTGCGTGGGACAGCATAAGAGCCTAATTTAATAGACAACTATAGGCCTCGAATGGAGCTCCTTCACGATAGCCTTGTGTGTCTTGATTCCTCCATCCATTGTGACGCGTCTTTGGATAACTGCACCTGACGATTGTTCAATTTGACGACCTTTTTTATGGTGACAGGCCTTAACGACACCTGCCTTGTCAGCAATATCCTGCCAAGGTAGACCTTTCTCTCCAAGTGTAGCTGTGTCTAGGTACGTCGCGATCGCGTCGGTGTCGCTCCTTGAGAGCTGCCAGAGTAGTAGTCGATTATCGACTTCACTGGAGTTCTGGAGACGCCGACATCGTTGCGATGCTACTATATTAGAACAGCACAGTGCGTTATGTTAAACACAGTAGATATTAACTGTGAACTGCATGGTATTGAATGCGCGAGAGCCATGAAGTGCGCGAAGTAATTCGAATCCACGCTTCAATGAACGCAAGGTTACCAACAAAGACGTACGGAAAATGAGGCTAATCAAAAGCATGAACAACTGGCGAACATACAACAAAGACAGAGTTCTTCGTAAATCGGTGAACCCGAAAAAAAGAAAAACCCAGCTTTTTAATTCTAATCTGGATGTCCATATCATTGCCAAGGTGTACAACAAACTAGCGGTTTCCTATTATAGTGTTGTGACTACAACACATCGAACTTTGCCCAATGCACCGCCCAGCCACGTGCGGTCAGTCGTGGCATCCGCCATAACATCGTCGTTCTAGGAATCATAGTCCTTTTTTACGATATCCCTGTCCGAAGTACTCTTAGCACTGTCGGCGTCATATCCTCTGTGGGCTTCACCACACGATACTACCAATCGCTTTCGGGTTATCTTACGAATAATAACCAGTATGTAGTACGAGTATGGAGTAGTTAGATTGTTTTGACTGATCTGGCTTATTAAATCTTCGGCTGCTGCGAGTTAGGACTAAAACACGGAAATTAAGGGGACCACAATGGGCGAGAACCAGCATCTGATCCGCGTTGCATACGCGCGTTCATGAATCAGGGTCCGTAATTGCCTGTTTAATATGTATTAGGGGTCAATTCCACATAACATCATGTGGTGGGGACGTTACATCATCATGTTGACGACAGGTTTTCTATAAATCCTTGCTGAAATGAATGTGCGCCACTTGTTCGCCGTCTCTGTGCGGTTTCAGCGCATGCACTCCGCCGAAACCTGTTATCCATCTAGATTCACACTGCTCTCATGCTATATGCAATATACACAAATACAACTGTTCTAGTTTTAATCTACTAAGAGCTAGAGATACAATGTATAAGAGCGTTCTGCCATGTCGTTTGTGCCGTTGATAGAGCTCAAGTTTCTTTTGTTCATGGGTGATGTTACGTACGTATACCGTAGCGAGCAGCTCAAAGGTGCTTTACTTAAGCATACCGTATTTCCTTTTTTTCAGGTGGGATAGGAGGGAGAGATAAAAGAGGGCAATATGAAGGGGAGGGGCTTTCAGCGGACGGCAACCGTTGCCCTTCTTCAAAACTCCCTCTTTGGCCGCCCATACCAAGATATTATTTCAACCCATGAAATAGATTGAGATAAGAGAGATATAAAGCGGGGTGCAGAGAACACTTTACCAAGTACCCCCAACCGGCGCCCCTAGATTATCGTCTGCTGCTCATCTACTATAGCGGTATTCTTTCACGTCAGTTATAGCAATTTGCTAAGAACCGCTCGCGCCTGGCGTAACCCTGACTTAGGGTTGACTTGGGGTAAAGCCCTAACTAGTAAGTGTAGCCCTAAGCGCAACTGGCAGCGCAACCCTAAGTTAGCACGGGCCATGCCCACGAACACCAACTCTCTCCCCTATCCTATCCTCAATCCTACCCTACTCAAGTATTCCGTCAGGGAATGCCCCCCATTCCAAAACTAAACTTCTTCAGGAATAGCCTCTAACGCCTAGGCCAACCCAATCACCTTCGGTTCGTTACTTCCACCACGTGGTAATATCCATGATCCTTCGTCTCTATCCAAGTACAGCCGCATCAATGACCGAACCATTCACGATCAACAAGGGCGGCTGCCCATTTACTACACTTAAGTCTACCCTCGAACAGTCACCATTCTTAAAGACAATGCTTTCGAAACAGTGGGCTGATAGTGCTTGTTACGTTAACGGCATGCCTTTCGTCGATCGAAGTGGTCTTCTTTTAGGACATATCCTAGACTTTTTATTCTTTGGAATCGGACGAACGGCTTTGATTTGCCTTCATATGCGAGCTTGTTCCATGAAGCCGAGTATTTCCAACTCGACGCACTCACTCCATGTATACAAAACGAGTAGTATATCAACGCAATCTTGATTACTTCATATATTGAATTAATCGCTTTTGTGGGTGGCTCTACAGCCTCATTTTCTTGGTCGTCTGATCTCGTTGGGGTGGCTCGTTGCGCGCACGGGCACTGTAAGCCTTCGCAAGGATCGGTCTACAGTGCCCGTGCACCAGATGAGCACCATCGCCAGTTGAGCACCCCCAACAACTCAATATAGTCAACAAGATGAGGCTGTAGAGCCACCACAAATCGTAATAAAATTGCGCAAAGCTAGGATTATACTATATACAGGCCTACAAAAGTTTTGGCTTATTTAGAAATTTTTTTGGAGGGCGTTATCGGTCGTTGCCGTCGACTACGCGGTAGAGCAGCTCGTGCAACCCTTGCGGCTCCCACCACAGCTGGAGCAACACCACCACACTTTTGACGCTTTGTAGCTGGCTTATGAGGTTTTGACGCTTTGCGCTTACCCAATTGGGGCAATTGTATAGCTTTGGCAGCGTCGCGGAGGCTTCTACGATGCTCTCTTTTGGCTTTCTCTGCAGCCTTCCGCTTTCTAGTCTCCTCCTAACCCTTCTCCCGCTCAACACGGGCTGCTTTTTGAAGTTGAAGCTGGCAATCGCGAGCTGCCTTCTTGATCTTGGCTTGCTCGGCTTTTTGAAGCTTTTTAAGCTTAGCTTGTTGTTGTTGTTGTATCTTGTTATCCTGAACTCGTTTGACGCTTGTTGGTGACCACCAAACAGCTCCACCATGATACTCAGGATGATCCTCAAGCTGTAGGGTATAGGATTTGGTTTCCCGCCTCTTCTTGATGGCTAGGGACTGCCTAAGGCCTTTGAGTTCGCCGTGGAGGAGTGTATTTTGAGCTGCAAGGTGTGTAACTTCGTTGAGCTTCCTGACGTCCTTGTTGTTACGATCCCTCCACCTCACGACG